CAAGATGGCTCCAAGACGGCTAAGAGGACTCCCAAGTTGCCCAATTATCCTGGAGGGCACGTGCACGGCCCAGGACGGCCCCAAGACGGCCCCAAGCTGGCCCAAGAGGGCCTCCGGAGGGACCCAAGATGGCCTCAGGTAGATGGACCCTCGGCGGCCCAAGACAACCCCAAAACGACCCCACGACGGCCCGAATGACCCCAATTTCGCCCAAGAAGGCCCCAAGGGACCCCGCAAGACTGCCCCACAGGAGCCCAACACAACCCGAAGACGGCCCAGGTGAGCTCCAGAGCTGCGAAAGAGAAGGACACGACAAGTGTCATGTGACGGTATTCGGTGCTCCAAGCCTATCCGGAATGCTGATCTGGCACGGTGAGAAACTTGCCGCAGACACCTGGATGAATATGATCGCCGCCTAGGGTCATCATTTTGACAAGCATGACGCTGCTTTCATGCCTCACTGGACGCCAGACAAATCTCGGGATAAGCAAAGACTCTGGTGCTCTCAACAGCGGCGAGCTATGCACACTGAAGACCACCAACTACAAAAACATGAACCCACGTTGGCAGAAATGGGGACCCACACAAAACAAGTCTCGAACAGGTATGCCATGCCGCCCACAAGCTGTTTACATCATGCAGTTGGCATTACCATTGAAATCAAGGATGAAAACAAGAAGCTACCGAACAAAAGAGAAGCATTGGAACACCACATCAGCGAGGTACGCTTTGAAAATAGGGTTGCAGCCAGCAAATAATCCAGTCAGGAAGCGAACGAACAAAAACTGCTCGAAACGCAACCTGCCGGGCGTTCGGCTGATCCTCCTCCTCCTCCTCCTCCTCCTCGCCATCATCATCATCATCATCATCATCATCATCATCATCATCATCAGTATCATCATCATAATCACCATCACCATCACCACCACCACCATCATCATCATCCTCATCCTCATACTCAACATCATCATCATCATCATCATCATCATCATCATCGTCATCATCATCGTCGTTATCATCATCATAATCAGCATCATCATCATCACCATCATCATCATGTTCGTCTTCATCATCATCATCGTCATCGTCAACATCAACATCATAAACATACCAATCACCATAATCACCGTCATAACCACCATCACCTGCATCATGATCATGATCATGATCATGATCATCATCATCATCACCACCATCAACATGATCATCATATTTATCAGTAGTGTAGTCAGCATCATCATTATCGTCACCTGTCTCCTCGACTCGAGCCCTGAATTCTTTGTGGCTGCTCTACCGATCCTCATCCAAGCGACTGAAGATATTATCTTCGCTGCGCTCTGCAGTCCCAAACTGACCCCCCAAAAACGGCAGTGCCAAACCAGGGACTACGCTTTCCTCCTTCTTCCTCCTCCACTGAGACGAGGCAACCTAGGAACAAGTCAGGCACGGATAGCTCGAGAACCCCTGAGAGCCAGCACACGAAGAATTGTACCTGGCATCTCGGCCGTTTCGGAGTGGTCGAAGACGTTTCGAGAAGGCCCTGCAGCGAGCTAGGCCCTAGGCATCCATTCGTTTACGAAGTTCGCCTGCCCACTTCTTTTCTGCTCCTTTGTGTGCCTCCTTCTTGGCCCCGCCTTCTTCCTCATCCGCCTCCCTCCGCCTTGATCCTCGGCGCAGGCACCTCTCAAACCATTCAAAGAAATTTGCTGTGTGAGTTTTGGCCAAACGTCTCTACCGCTCAACTGCG